TGGGCCTGTTTATATGGGGCGAGCTATCCCGGCTTGCGTAGTGAAAGCTACATATATCGAATAGATATATATATGACGTAAAGTAGATTTGTCATTAGCCGAAATGCTATGGGGATATCTGATGAATATCTAATATGTGTGATAAATAGATTGTCTGGTGTAATCGCAAGCAGTGGCCCGATTTATACTAAAAACGAATCTTTTGTCTGGACGAACTTAGGCAAGCAAAAGATAGTTATTCTTCTAGCTCGTCTGAGTGTAAACGCAGGCAAACAGACGAATCATCATTCTGTCATCACGAATTATCGGCATAATTCGTCTATTTAGACGAATATCAATGGTAGTTCGTCTTGACACATCATTCGTCGGTTAGTATAAATACGGGGTGGGGTGATAACGAAAAATTAATCATAAGACGACTCTTATGCACCCTTTTTACCTACTAAACACGCGCTGTTTATCTGTTTCATCTTTAACACTTGATAAAAAGTATTCACTTATCTTAATTACTGCATCGTTGGCATGTGAGAAATCTCGTCTGTACTCAATTTCAAGGCATAGGCTTTGAATTTTTGCTACTTTAATGTACTTTCTGACACTGATAATATAATTATTCCGAATTATTTGTATATTTTAAATATTACTCAAAACGGCACGACGGCCCACGACCGGCTGAGGTGTCACCTGATAAGGAATTTTGCCAAAAATTCAAAAATTTTTTTTGAGCTTCTTTGAAAGTCTCTTTGGAGTGTCTTCATTTCAAGCAAGCATTTTTAAGCAAGCAAATTTCAAGCAAGACACCTACCAAGAATAACATGAATCTTTGGTTCCAGGTGTCACATCTTGTACTCAGCCTAATGTGTCGATTGATTCCGTATTTTCTGCTAAGTTCATTGTTAAAGGCATCGGTTGCACACCAAGTTTCAAAGAAACTCTTGCCTTACCCTTTATAACAAACCGATAATGCTCCCTTTGTAGTATGGTTTATAGCACGATAGATTCCCTTGTTGGACTTTGAGCACAAGCAGCTCTGTCCAGACTCACTGAGTCGACGTAAAGATAAAATAAATCAGGATTAAAACCAGAACCAGACAAAGAACCACCGAGACAACCTTGTCTATTCAAATTCAACATGGCGCCATTTTCTCGAGACCGAAACTGAGCTTTCAGGTGAAGACAGCTGTCTTCAGAAACTTCCTGAAAGGATAAGTTTCCCCAACTGCCGTTCACAGTATTACCTGTGACATAAATACACTTCGGGACTACACTGTAACTGTAAGCATTCCAAAAAAAACAAGCAACAGATGCGAAAAAGGGAAACGATGCAAAACTACAATGTAAATAAAATCCCGTTAACATCACACCCAATATAGTGTGCCCCCAAAAGTGCCCTTAACAAAAAAAGAGTTGCTAAAGCTGCACGGTGATTTCCACTATATTACCTTTGCTTCACCATGCACGCGGCAAAAGTTAATACACAACTTGCCCTTTGTTAAATTGTCATGTGAAACAGTCCCCAAATTTTAAGAATAGTAAATACTACTCTAGTGACCTTTATTGAACGGTCACCTCTATTATCAGCGGATGCGGTCAGCCGGTCACCTTTTCCACGGTCCCAAATTCATATTTCATTGCTTTGAAACTTTATTGATCGGTCGAAAATATATACATGGCCAAAAATGCAGGCCGGTAAGCGGTGAATTGTGTGGTCTTTGAGAACCAGCCGGACATGGTCATTTCGCATTTGCCAATGCCTGATTTTCCCTCAATTTTTCGGTTGTTAAAAGATCCATAAAATTGATTATATTTTTCTCTACCTTAACCAAGCATACCTAGATTGGATTTAAAATAATTATATTAGACAACCACTCACAATTAATGTAATTGAATGGCTTGAATACTAATTGGGTATACATGGGGATATGGAGGTCCAAACATGCTGTTAAAAATTATTTGCAGGACGAACAGGATTTGCCATATCATATGATTTTGGAAAGAGGCAGTGTAGCAGCTTTCAGCTTGATTAAGCAAGAACAATAATAGAAACCTTTAGCAAAAAGCGGTTAATATGACGCGGTAACAAGTTCCGATTTGAAGCATGCACTTTGCGTAAATCACCTTTTTCACTCAGTTGGTTTTGTGCATTCGTCACACAGTCGCACTTAAAATTCGTGTCGTAAAGTACAAAACAAAGTAAGTTACTTGTTCAAGACTATTAAATTATTGCCTGTAAAGTATATCCTGCATTTTGTTTCTTCAAACTTTACAATGCGTCGTGACGTAAGCAAAATCGTCATCGTTTTACATAGAGCTTGCGCTGCGGCCGTAAAAGTAAAATAACACTGATTGACGAGTCGTGTTTCGTTAATTCATGATAAAACAAAACCTAAGATGTCCACAGATGAAAATAAGCCAGTTTCAGAATCCATATGAAAAAAGTCGGTGACCTTTAATGATTAAGTTTTTTAAAGAAGAATCCGATATCGCGATAACGATCCAGTTTTTCACCGGACGCCTTAAAAAGAAGAGAAAGTCGAACGAGGAATTAGACAGCAAGCCTAAGGGACGATATGGCATACAAACCAAAGCCGGTAGCTTTGCGTGTGCGACAAAAGGCCAGCGAAACGAGCAGATTTCCTCAAATTTCGGATCGCAAAGACGACAAACGTTTTCGAAATGTCCTTTATGCTCTAAAGGCCACAGTCTGGAGAAATGCCCCGAATTTAAAAGTAAAACCCTCGACGAGAGACGAGACTGCGTGCTTTGATGTTTTGGATGTTTCAAAAAGGGACAGTTGTCATCCGTTTGTCGATCGAGAATGAAGTGCGAAGAATGTGGTAAACTGCATCCCACATCGTTGCATGGTATCAAACCGAAGAAACGTTCCACTAGCAAAGGAAAGGAACCTCCCGTCCAAGACAAGACAAATAACGACGACGATGCATCGCTATCAAACGAGTCTGCAAATTCAGCCAGTATCTGTGGTTCGTCGAACGTTGTCGAAGACAAGGATATTGTTACGGCCATGTTTGTTCCTGTGGCAGTCAGCCACAAAGATCGTCTGGACGTCGAAGTTAACGTCTACGCCTTACTCGACGACGGAAGTGATTCTACCTTTTTAAAGAACCCGGTGCTGAGAGAGCTTGGCGTGAATGGAACTGAAGTATCGTTAAAGCTCAACACCATGCATGGCGAAACCAGTGTTGACTGTTGCGGTGCAGAGAATCGATGGACTGGTGGTACAAAAGCTGGACAGAACTGAGCAACCAATACCTCTTCCAAAGGTTTATTCAAGGGAAGCTATTCCATCGAGAAAAGAACAGGTATCAACGCTCGCATGCAGTAGCAAACAGACGGTTCCGTTTTGAAGTTATAAAGGACGAGATACCGCCTCTGCAAGCAAGTATGGAGATTGGTCTGCTTATTGGCTGTAATTGCCCAAAGGCTTTGAAACCGCAAAAGGTTATTCCCGGTGGTGAAGCCGATCCGTACGCAGTGAAAACACGTCTTGGATGGGGTATAATCGGTTCAACAAACACGAAATGGTCGGCCAGCGATGAGTATTCTAAATGCCACATGATCGCAACCCGTGAAGTCGAAAGCGCAAGGCCGGCGGATAAATTTGTTCTGGACACTCGACCCAAAGAAGTTATTAATCCAAATGACATTTATAGAATGTTTAGCTCGACTTCTCGGAAAGAGAAAGGGAAGAACCAGCGCTATCAAGGGAAGATAGAAGGTTTCTAGAGATTGTAAAAAATGGAATATGTCTCAAGATTGAAAATACGAGATACCTCTTCCGTTTAAAGACCAGACTGCTAAACTTGAATCGATTAAGGCCTCTAAAGAAACGTCTCGGATGGCTGCTATAGCTATATTCATTTTAACGTTGATATGTGCTGATTTAATTGATATTTCGCGTTCGCTGCGCTCAAAATAACTGTTCAGATACAGTACTGTCCAGAAATAATCTAACACTGCGGTTCGGTTGCGGTTAGGTTGCGGTTCGGTCGCGGTTCGGTTGCGGTCGACCGATAGGAACCGCAGTCGACCGCAAGGGGAAAAATACCTTCGCAGTGGCAGTTCGCTCCCGAACGAAATGTTATGGACAGCTGCGAACCACAACACAATAACCAAATCGAAAACATCTTAAGAAATGTCTGTCAGACCGAGGTTTGACCTAGGTTAACCGCGGTTTTCTGCGCAGTACTATACCTCAATATGGGCAAAGTAACCGCGCAACTTCATCTTAGCTCGATCAAAATTTTTGAACGGTCTGTAATTCACAAAATTTCAAAAATCAACATAACGAAATCACGTTTCTCTCCCGCCTAGAACCCATAATCTCCGTCACCCTTGACCTTGATCAAGCACTGTAATTGCTGGGTTCTTTCCACAGAACATCTGTTTCAAAACTTTTTGGTAAAATATTTTTGCATTAGGTTTTTCTACAGGTCCACCACATCTAAAAAACTGGTCACAAGATTTTGGCGTGCTTGTATTCTCTCAGCAAACTGCGCAAGCGCAACTCTTGCTAACAACGAGTAAACTTTAATACCAATAATAAGCAGTATTACAATGAAGAAATATAGAAACAATGTCCATGTATAAAAAAAGACGAAACAAAATCAGTAGGAGCACTAAAAACATGGTTGGTGTGATATCCAATAGGATTTTACCGACCTAATAAGTGTAGATGTAAATGTAGATGTAGTCAACAAATTATAAAAGCTAGTTAAGTATATATGCTATCTCAAGTGGATTTAATTGTGATGGTGTTAATCTGAGTTACCAACAGGGTCAGCTCATCTTATAGTTTGCCCAGCTCAGCCGGAACTCCAAGTGCATGGCATCTTCGCGAGGTCTAACACCAATTACACCATCGTTTCCAACCAAGTTTATGCCACTGTTCAAACCCACTTTTATCAACTGAAAACACCCTATTAGTTTCTACCCCTTTATCTCTCTTGTTATATATCTCTAGTTATTTTGTACTTTAATTAAGTGACAGTATAAGTGATCATCACTTTCTCTCTTCTGAAGTTCGGTATACGTCGCCTGATCATCGTCCACGGGGTCGTAAATATTTGCATTACTAGTTTCTGGTACATTAGAAATATATGCCGGATTTTTTTATCCTCCTTTGTACTATTGCCCGAAGTGTTTTGTAATCTGGATCTACGTTTTTGATAAGCCAAACAAGCAATGATTACGAACGAAGCAATCAGGAGAATGATTAATACAATCATTCCGACAAGATAAGAATTAGAACCAGCGTCGTTTCCCTCTGACTTCGTGCATGAAGCTTGGACTAAAAAACGAAGTAATTTATCATTAAAAAGAACTCGCAGATACATGGCGACCGGGGTTCAAAGATCTGTGAGCTTTTTCCTTTTCTAGGCACCAGCCATGGAGGCGTCACCTCGCGAACTTTCTCTCTTCGAATGTTAACCAATTTTCAACACCAACAAAAATTTACATAAGAAAATTCACGATGTAGTAAATCGATTATTGTAATTTTTTATCGTGATAACAACAATATAACATTAGCTTACGAAAATGAAATTGAAATAACCAATCAGTCTCACACCAAATTTGATTGCCCAAATTCATCTTTAGTAGTTGGATGGAAAACTTTATAGGCTATGTTTGAATGTAGGCTACCGTTACTTAAAATCTATATAATGAAACTTGAAAATGAACAGAAACAAATTATATGGTTTCGTTAAAGGTTACTTGGGATTGCATATGAACATAGCCAATGTGGAGGTATATACCTGGATGACTTGTCGTTTGTGAAACAGGACTCCAGTCAGTCGAGTAATAATCTCCCTGCAGGAATGAGGAGAAGAGGTTTGTAAACAGCCTGAGAGTACAAATTTCAGAATTGTAACAACGAGTCAAGCATGTTTATTTTGTCAGGCAATTACATTTTAGCACGTATCTTTAACTAGCCAAGGGCATTTCTTTAATCCTATAGATCATGTACGCGCAATGTTTGCAAATTTTGAATTTGACAATTTTCCCAGTGTTAATTTGAAACCTTTTGACTTTATTATATAAAACAAATAGATGACTTTGAACCGTTGTCTATTCAGTTATAGATACACGATATGACATCATTTGTGATAAAAACATGAAGTGACACACACTCACTCGCCCCAGTGAGTCGTGGCTACTTTTTGGTTCTTATCACAAATGACGTCATATCATGTATCTATAACTGAATAGACGACGGTTAAATGTTATCTACTTTTTAAATACACCCGCCCCCAATTAAACTTTTTATCTCATGCTTTGTTTTTTCGTTTTCAGTCACTGGGAAATGAACTTTCAAAAAGCGTTCTAATTTCCTCTTTCTCACTAAGCTAATAGGAGTATCTCGACTAAGCTAATAGCTCGCATACCGTGACTACAAAAATGGAAATTTACCCCTTCCCCCATTTAGCTTTTGCCTAAGGTCCAGGATGCCGTAGACTAACGATGCAAATTCATTCGAAAATAATTTATTTCTCTATATAATTATACTGTTTATCCTGAAAATTCTCATCAAAACTTGCAGTAGGAAGTTTTGCCGAAATTTCATTGAGAAAAGTATGTTGAATATTTTAATGTTTAACCTAATTATAATGAACTAGGGACACTTAATTTCTTTCCGATAGAGTCCTTAGAGCAATGTACATTTCACACGTCCTGTGTAATTCTACACCGGCCCACGAATTTCAGTGTCAGAAATAGAAATGTTAACTACCTTCTTAAAAATATGTCTCAGCGGGACAGTCTCACACGCTTTGAACAACACACAAATACCTTGTCATTGATGATAATCCTTTGAAAAATACTGTAACCAGTGCCAGGCTCCAGCGGACCATTAAGATATTCTTTGAAATGCGAAGTATCACTTATTGAATCACTTGTAATTCTGCCATCACCAAGTACAAACATGTTTTCCTTAATATTGTTGGATGAGAATACTGCGGCGATATACGGTTGTGGATTGGTTGAATTTTCAGCTTCGGCAAACATCATTTTATACAACTTTGCTAAACCTTGTGAATGCAAGGTGATCGATCCGCGATATGAACCTTTTACGTACAGTATTTGACCCCGGGTGTTTTTCTCCTCCCACTTCCCTCTCTCGCCGACCACGCTTAATTGATCGAATACTTACTCGAACGTTATTGTAGGAATTTCCAAAGAAAAGTTAAGTGTACTTGGTGTTCCTCCAATTGCTTTTTTCACTGCTCCTATGATAACACATTGACATGTTTGTTAATTAAAAACTGCCGAAGTTGCCTTATGTTTTTAGAACAAGATAGCCTAGATAGCAACGATGCGTCGATAGTTTGAACACGAATATTTAAGTTTTCGCGCCCTCTTTTCAGCATCGCCAGCATCGATAAGTGGGGTGGACATATTCATATATTCATGTTCACAGACCGTTAAAACAATCAATTTGAAAAGAAATGAATAATGTAAAACACGAATATATGAATAAGTCCCCCCCACTTATCAAGCTGGCGACGCCAATGCCTGTTTTCTCTGATCTTTATGGAAACTCTTCGTGGAAACAGAAAACGACAGACAGGGCTCATATGAACATACAACTCCCCAATGGAATCAAATAAGCTATTTGTTCTACTTACGTCCATTCGTTAAAATTCCTTCCTATTGCTGTAGTTACTCCTTCCAGCTTTATTACTGGCCAGAATGGCAAAATAATTATTTGTTACTGGATTCAGATTCCGTACAAGCCACTCTTTTTCACCTGTGATGAATGTCTGAAAGCAACATCCATTCTTTGAATGTGAAACGCACGCAGTATAACTGGTAATGACGCCATTTTGTTTACTTTTCTCCGGAGGATCCCAGACAAGGAGCAACGAAGATGCACTTCTTGATATTGCTTTCATGTTCATTGGAGGACCACTTGGGGCTAAATGTTCAAAACAGCCTATTTGCAGTTTGATTTTATGCAACTGCACTAAATCCTAGTAATTGGCATTCTTCAAGAATGGGGGAGAGCTTGTTTATTCGTATATTCATTTCTGCCCGACTGATTTCTTTTGTAAATGCAAGGCTGGCGGTTTGGGAATGGGTTCAAAGAGAAAATATTTCGTGCGCGTAACATGACAAGGATTTGTACCCTAATTACTTTAACGAAAACAATTTTGCAAAACATTATAAAACGTTCACATAATCGTTGACTTAATTTTAATCTAATGTCATATACTCTATTTAACATCCATGAAGTACATAAAGGTTATATATAATCTAATACAAATACCTTCTTCCGATGTTGAGAACAGAATTATTGCCTTTCTACCGTAGCCATAGTGATTACCAGCAGCAACCGATATTTCATAAGTAGTGAACGGAATAAGATTGTGTATTTCATATATATGTACAGATTTATTTCTGGTGATGTTTAGAATAGGCAAGTTATCTCTCGTGAGAATAATGAAAAATCGAGAAACACGTCGCCTCCATGAACCTCTATCTTTAGGATTTTCAGGATCTAGCCAAGATACTTCGACACTTCGGGACGTGATGTTACTGGCTGTTAAACTTCCAGGTTTGTATGGCAGCACAGCTTCAAAGAAAAGTACGAGATAAACATTCAAATAAGTGAAAAACAAAAAATTTAAGTAGTCCATTTCTGTCCATGGGCAATTTTCTGGCAGTAGGAATTCATAAAGTGCATTAGGAATGATTAGGAATAACTCACCGTATCCACTAGTCTCGACTCTCATGCATGGCTGACCAACATATGCTAGGGGAATAAATCGTAAAGCTCTTGTACCAAAAGAAGGTCCAAGGTGGATAAAATGCCTTGCAGCCTTAACTGCATGATGGTAAGCATTTTTATTTCCTTGAAATATCTACAGAAAAAGAAAAAGGAAAGAAAAGGGAAGAAAAAGGAAACAGGATTGCCTCGACAGACTATATAACATTAACTTATTGTTAGTTACAGTATTATTACTTACCCTGGACCAATACGCTTTCCAGCTGACCAAATCCGAAGTATGATTTAAGTTATACGTGGCGACCCATTTTGGACAAGTGCTGTCACCATAAGTTATCACATGATATAACCTATCTAGCGTATCCAGGTCCACCTGAAGATAATGCTTTGCATCTGAAACAGGAGCACACCAGGAGCTTCCGCTAGATATCCTTGCATCGAAAGGATTGTGACCTTTCACAGAAGCAGAGGCAGAAAATGATGAATCAGGAAATCTTTTTTTATCTGTAGCTAACAATGGAGTGAAGTTGTCCTGGGAGACATAATCTGAAACGGGAAAATAATCTTAGTATTCCATATTTTAATTAACAATTGTATCAGTTGGAGCATTTTGTAGAGCCTTTGGCCCGTTTCAGACGCTGAACATATATTTCGTGGGCCGAAAAAACTGATGAAAATGAACTTAAACAAAGACTTCAGCTTATTAATTAACATTAGGTTTGGCACATGAAAACTTCGACGTCTGAAACAGACCTCTGTGTAATTTTATATTATTCATGACATGCATCTGTTATTGTCCATACATATTTTTTTATTTTTTTTCTAACTCTGTGTAAATTTAAAGTATTCCTCTCACGCGCATAAAAACCACATTCGATGTATGATAGCTCGGAACAGCTCGGCTGATTGGAAGCAACAATCAAACACTGGGATAAATTTTTCACGATCACTACAGGTAAATGTTCCAGAAAAAATAGCATTTTTGGAATCCGCTGGGACAGATACATTAAAAAAGGAATTTAGATCATCGTAACCAAGACTACGGCATAGGATACGCGCATCTGGGTACTTCTTTAAACTCTTCCAGCAAACATCCATTGTTCCACTGTCAGTGTTAATTTGGACAACACCTTTGAAAGGTAGATATGAATGTGATAAGGACACATCATGAACTACAAGGAAAAACAAAATAGAAAATTGGTGAGTATTAAGCCACGTACGGACGGGCAACTTTTCCTTGACAAGGAGCCTTGTTCAAAAGCTAGTCATGCCTGCAAGTGAACTGGTCAAGAAAACTTGTCAAAGGAAAACATGCCCGTCTGTACGGGGATTTATATGGACAATCGCACCTAAAAATACAGATCTTTACTTTAAAACACAGAACAGCTAATGTTAGGAAACGTAAAATACAAAAGTATATATTAAACGACATATATGCAAACCGAAGAGAAATAAATCCTTAAAAATAATCCGATGCTAGAAAAACTTAACACGAATTATAGGACTAGCATGCAGTGCTCCAGCAAAGCCAAAGCAGCAAGGGAAAAAAATAGGCTCACTTAAACTCCAATCAAAGCCGAAACAGATTAAAGTTTGAAAGATGTAGTTGAATTAACAGATACGACAGTTAGAAAATAGAGTACCCAGATTTAGTAGATTCAAAGAAACATATTCTTAGTCTCTTTAATTGTCTTGTTCTTTTAATATGTGGAAAACTACTTGTCTTTTATAATAATTATGTAAAAATAAGAATTTAAGACACATATATTACAGCCTTTCATTTTTGGTTCCGCGGGTCATCGACAAAGGAAAAACTTACTACAAGGTCCTTTGAAGGTTTTCACAGTATCTATACAATGATATTCAAAATAAAGATACGTTTTCAAACCAGGACATCCGCTACTGGAGAAAAATGCTTTATCCACACGTATACTGCACTCATGAAGACCATCACATTGCTTCTTAACGAGACATGTCACATCCAGTTCACAACTGTAATCAATTAAACTCAAACCACAAGTCTTTGTTGCAAGTAATCCACGAAAAGAGGCAATCTTGACCACCATGTACTGATTCCTAGGACAGTTTGCATTATTCACCATACCACCATAACATGTCACGGAACCTTCATTAAGATATAGAATTGTTTCAAGGGCTGTAGATAGACCGCTTCATTTTGGCAAACGACGAGTATATGAATATTAAATGGTGTTTTATATTGAAAACGTCGTCAGATAACATTAAAATCAGGATATCATAGACGGCGGAAGATCGTTAAGTATGGAAGGCAAATATTCATAAATTTATATTCATGTTACCAGACCATAAAAACAATATATTTCAAAATTAACTAATACCCCCCCCCCCCTTTCACTTAACGATGCTCCTCCGTCTGTATAGATACCCTATACATTTTACAGGAAAACAAAGATTTTCCTATCAAAACATTGATCAGTTGAGGTAATATTGCACTAGGTTTGCAAAAGTCGAAAAGTCTTCTTCTTGAAACTAGTGATTTTTAAACCCAAAACGCCCAGACCGAAAATTTGTCACATCCACATGGCTACATCTCGGGACACTAAGATGGCTGAAGTACCATCTGAGGTATCACGTGATGAGGAATTCAAATAATGGTCATATGTATTCACGCCTAACTCTTCAACATTTGTTGATGATTCTTTTTTTGAGCTTGTTTAAAAGTTTCTTTGAAGTTTCTTCATTTCAAGCAAGCATTTTTAACAAAGCAAACTTCTTCAAGCAAGATACCTACCAAGAATAAATCTTTGGTTCCAGGTGTCACATCTTGTACTCAGCCCAATGTGTGGATTGATTCTGTATTTTCTGCTAAATTCATTATTAAAGGCATTGATTGCACACCAGGTTTCAAAGGAGCTCTTACCATGCCCTTTATAATAAACAGATAATGATCCCTTTGTTTTCTGGTTTATAGCACGATATATTCCCTTGTTGGGATTTTGAGCACAAGCAGCTGTGTCCAGGCTTACTGAGTCGACGTAAAGATAAAGCAAATCAAGATGTAAACCAGAACCAGACAAAGACCCACCCGCAAGACAGCCTTGTCTGTTCAAATTCAATATGGCGCCATTTTCTCGAAAACGAAACTGAGCTGTCAGGTGAAGACAGCTGTCGTCAGAAAGTTCCAGAAAGGATAAATTTCCCCAACTGCCGTTTGACTGTATTATACCTGTGTCATTAATACACCTCGGAATTCCACTGTAACCATCCCAAAATCTTACGAAGAAACAAGTCACGCCTACGAAAGAGAAAAACAACGCAATACTACAATGTTCTTCCATGAAGCAATTAAACCTAGCTATATATATAAAATCACGTTCACACCATACCCAATACAGTGTGTCCCAAAAAAGTACTCTTAACAACAAAGAGTGATTTCAATACAGGGGACTATTTTGGGGACACACGGTGTAATTTATAGTATAGTATGGGAAATACAACGGCAACGGCTACCGCAACGTATTCATTAACAAAGGAATTGATTCTGAAAGGCAAGAGAAAAAGTAAATTAAAATATTTAAGCGTTGTAAATTGTCGTGGTTGCTAAAGCTGCACGGTGATTTCCACTATGTGATAGTCTTCCACTGTTAATACAGAACTCATCCCTTGTTGAGTGGTCATGTGACAAAGTCCCAAAATTTTAAGAGTAGGAAATACTATAAAAAAAGGAACTTATAGTTTTTCTTTAGACTGTATCACTATATGAATGCAAATATCTCATGATGCCATGTTCTCGTATTTCTTGTTGACTCCATGATTTAGGTCATCGTTACTTCCTGACAAATTTGTATAAAAGATTGTAGCATGCTTGTAAATAATTAGGTTTGACAATGACTTTGAAATAGAGTCAAAATATCACCTTGAATATTGTGTCTTGTTTTTTAACAGCTCATATCTTGAGTTTACAAGATATTTATTTTGGAGTGTGTTTTCTCTTATATTTAGTAAATACTATTCTAGTGACCTTTATTGAACGCGGTCGCCTCTATTATAAGCGGACTTGGTCAACCGATCACCTTTTCCAGTGTCCCAAATTCATCTTTTCCTTGTTTTGAAAATTTATTACTCGGTCAAAGAGATATGCATGGTAAAACACGGCCAAACGTGGCCAGAAATGCAGGCCGGTATTTAGATCAGTGTCGCTCAATTCGCGAAAGACAATATGGTGATTGTTTTTATTTTATCAACCAACTGCACAATCTATGAGAATATACAATCGAGTTTATTGGTTACGAGTTTATTGGTTGAGAAATTAAAATAAACTCCCTCCTCAACAAATAACAACCGTTATTGGCGTCAATCGAAAGTTAATCGTGGAGGTCCATATTAATATATTCTGCTATGCCTGGCTAATTTATTTTGAAGAAACTTCGCTTTCAAGAGAAATCAGCCGGGCATAACAGAATATATGAATATCATTCCGCCCGTCTTCCACAATTAACGTTCGATTGACGCCAATGACAACCCTATGTCGTTCAAGCTAGAGCTACAAGATATAATTCATCAGTGCGGCTAATTTATCAATAAAAGCTGTTCTTCTAAAATGAAATCCCTAAACCTGAGTGTGCGAGAAATGATGGGTTATTATGGCAGCTCTCCACCTACGTGTTTTGACCCGCGAAAAATTTCATATGCTTCAAATTTTTATTATTTAATACATGTGTCAACAAATGCATACAAAAGTATGCGGAAAACTAAGTTCTTTCGATTTATGATGGTTGCCATGGCAACCATGATGATCATTATGATGATCTTGATCATAATTAGCATATTACTCATCATAAATGATGGTTGCTATGGCAACAATGATGCTCATTATGATGATTTTGCTCATAATTAACATATTACTCATAATAAATTATGGTTGCTATGGCAACCATGATGATCATTATGATGATTTTGATCATAATTAGCATATTAATCAAAATAAATGATGGTTGCCATGGCAACTAAGATGATCATTATGATGATCTTGATCATAATTACCATATTAATCATAATAAATTATAGTTGCCATGGCAACCATGATGCTCATTATGATGATTTTAATCATAATTATCATATAATTCATGATAAATGATGGTTGCTATGGCAACTATGATGATCATTATGATGATATTGATCATAATTAGCATATTATTCATAATAAATGATGGTTGCCATGGCAATTAAGATGATCATTGTGATGATCTTGATCATAATTACCATAATAATCATAATAAATCATTATTTTTCGAAAAACTTTCTCATTGATCAGCATTAACGAAATTTATATGTCACACTCGATGAGTATGAGTGTGAGTGAGCTTTTTGAATACAGGCGTTAGACATTCACTTGCGTATGAAAAACGCGTAAGTGGCAAGCAGCCCTTATATTTCGACTATTTAACTTAAAGATTCGGCTTTCTAGGAAAACCGCGAAGATGAATGAAAAGACTAACTGGAAAAAGAATAGTTGATTGAATTGTGACTGTATATTAAATATGTTTCTTAGCATGCAATCTTCCGTTTGACGTACAACGTGAAGCTGAAGCTCTCTATTTTTATCAGCAGATAGAATGTACAGAGGGAACTGTAAACTCTTTCTAAAAGATCTCAGTTAACCCTACAGACGAACAGAGCGCTCGTTTTATTCTTAGCCCGGGATATAGTTCATGCAATATTAAAAATCTAACCGGTTATTTGTCAAGTACATTAGAGAGCTTCGCAGATAATTCATGTTAAAGTTGATATAGAAAGATGACATGTCAGTTATACAAATCGGGGCTATTAAAGCGCGTCTGACACAGAATATAGTAAAAACTATGTCCACCAAACTAAAGCAATGGGTAGAAAAGTCGTTCTTTTGGTAATTAATACGCGGGGTAAACAAAAAACGAAACATTTACAAATTATATCAACGTGTGGTTATAAATACAATTGTAGTCCTATCCTGCATGCGGCCATTGTTAATACTACTATTTATATTATGTATTTACCTTGCAGATACAGGCAAACAACAAATAATGTAACAAACTGAAAACACCTTGAAAACATCTTCTTTATTTAACAAGGAAGTAATTCCAGCGATAAATTTATAACTCGTAAACCGGAAGAAGGCCAATCAAATCAAATTTGATATTGAATATTCATACAGATTGCACGAGGTATAAGAATTTCAGTTTTGATCATGAAACGAAAGAAGAAGAATAAATTCTCAATGTTTATTGACATTCAATTGTTCTCATCCCTTGCTTATATCAACTTTCCATCACAAGTGTTATAAAAATTAAAATGCCTAAGATATACAAAGCCTCTTCAGTCTTGACATTTCGTCCTATAACCAAGCGCCACAGAAAAAAACCAACCGTTCTGACGAATAAGAAGGCCCTTAGGCCTAAACGTAAGGAAGTGTTTTTTCCTTGCCGATTTTAGGCGATTGTTGTCTACTTTTTATGGGGAGTTGTTAAAAGACGCTGCCACGCTGCTTCTTGGTTATACTGTATTTAGAACGAGACGCATCGCCAAAATCATAGGAAATTGTGCGACGGCAATTTTAATCAGCGGTTTCTCGGTAAATAATATAATTCAGTTGTGATTTATTATTACATGCATTAGCAGAAAGATTTATGCACAATAGAATGATGAAACAAAAATCGTTCTTCACTGGGTAAATTAACTTGATTGGAAGTACGATTTTTTCACACGGCTTGGGATTTTTGCAGCGATTTGTTTACATTTTTTTCAAAATGACGTTGAGATATACGAGTGAAATTCAAAACAAATTTTTGAAATTTCAAAGACATTTCCACATTCGGCACATTATAAAATCTTGCAAATAAAAATACAGTGGATCCCATAATGGAAACGATGCACAGGTATATAGGAATAGTTTATGCATGCATAATTAGGGTTAAAAATAGAGCTACAATATAACGTACGTACGTTGATATGTGCGGATTTAGATGATTTTTTGCGTTCGCTGGCCTCAAAAATTGAGGAGATATCTACTTATGCATGGTCAAGTGACAGCTCAATTTCCACCTAGCTCAGTCAAAATCGGTTTTTGACCGGGCACTAGTTTACACATTTTCCAAAAATCAACCTGACATCAAGGTTTTCCTGAGCCTAAAACTCATAAACTGAGTTAACATAGATGAAAAATGGACAGATGCTATCTCAGTGGTAAAATTGATCTATCTTGCTGGGCTTCTATTAAATGTTTATTGCGTGATATTTCGTGATATTGCGTGATTGACGACGAGAAAACTTTAATACCTTACAAACTAAGCAGGATTACAATGATAAAATATAGAGAACATGTACATGTATAATAAAAGTTAATATGAGCACTACAAACATGGTAGTCAACAAATTATAACAGCTTCTGATGACTGATGATAGTGATACGACTCGGTGGAATTAATTTGTGATGATGTTACCACCATGCAGGGTAAGCTGATTTCTTAGCCTACTTGGCTTGATATTTAACAGCATCGTTGCAAACCATGTTAATAACAATGTCTAAACCCCCTTTCAACAACTGGAAACACCTTGTGAGTTTCTACCTCGTTTCTCTTTTTCCACGTTGTTTTTTTGTACTTTATTTAGGTGACAGTATAAGTGATCATCACTTTCCCTCTTTTGAAGTTCAGTATACGTCGCCTGATCATCGTCCACGCGGTCGTGAATATTTGCATTACTGGTTTCTGGAGCATCATAAATATCGTTCGAATTATTTCCACCCTCGTTTGTACTTCTGCCCGAAGTGTTTCGTGATCTGAGTCTACGATTTTGATAAACCAAATAGGCAATGATTACAAACGAAGCAATCAGGAGAATTATCAATACAATCATCCCGACAAAATAAACTTTAGAACCAGCATCATTTCCCTCTGACGTCGTGCTTGAAACTTGAACTAACAAAAAACAACGCAATTTACTATTAAAAAGAAACTTGCAGGTGCATGACGACCGGGGGTGAAAGATCTGGAGATTTCTGGAGAGATCTAGGCACCAACCATTGTGCTCATGGCCAGAAATTTGATACAGTTAGTCAGCGGTTTTTGCATTAGTATGCGAGCGCACGCGAAAATTACGTAACCCTGCGATTTCAAGATTACCTAAAGTAATTGGTTCTAAGTGAACAGGTCAGGATAAAACCTGATCCCAAGAACTTGTTTCCAGATTGTGGAAAAGAAAAGGAAGTCTTTAGCAGGTTGTTTCATGTGCTGTTGGATTTTTATTTCACAAATGTCGACACATTTCTGTCAAGTATGACTCGAATGATTTTCTTACCAAACTTGTCAAAACGAACATATGTACGAATTAATGTATGAATACATGTATGTATGTTAAACGAACAACACATATATGTGTATCGTTTTTATAGACGAGCAATGTATGCATGTACCCTACAGACACTATACTCACTACCTATAATATAAGATGACAATGTAAGTATTTCGAAACAAGCATATATGAGATTCATTTGTCTATAAAGGTCGATATTTACAATGTGTTACCCTATATTTGATTATTCATCCCTTAGCAACGCAGACTTGAAGGATAAATACAAATTTTCTCCCCTGCATGTACAGGACATTACATACAAGGCACAAAATAGACGGATCAAAATATCAATCTCTGGCTTTTGCATTCTAAGTCTTACTTTTAGAATATCAAATAGTATTATACATGGAGAGTGAAGGTAGTGTCTTAATGTAATTACCTGGCCAACCTATATTGAAATCCGTTTCCAAGGAGCTTCTATATTGTAGAAATGGTTTGTACATAGGACTTAAAATATTTGGGATTTTAAAGATTAATGTTCTCATATTGAGAAAATGAGAAATTAAGATAATTTTTCTTATATAAAGGAATAATTTACTCAGTTTAAGAAAAAAATTCCAATTATAAGAAAAAAATTTCTTGTGTCATAATCTGTAAATCTGTGGACTGAATAATTTCTTATTTTAAGAAATGACTTTATAAACGAGATTTTAAATAATATATCCTAGAGTTTGAAAAAACTTATGTGTATAAGAAAATTTTTCTTGACATAAGAAAAAAGTTCTTAAAATAAGATACATTTTCTCCAAGAGAGAATGACTTTTTGCTGTGGTAGAGCCAATGTAGAGATATATACCTGGATGATTTGTCGTTTGTGAAACAGGACTCCAGTCAGTCGAGTAATAATCTCCCTGAACAAATGAAGAGAAGAGGTTTAATTATAAACAGCATGAGAGAACAGATTTCAGAATTGTAACAAACTTAACGAGTCATCGTTTGTTTATTTTGTCAGCCAATCACATTTTAGCACCTGTATTTAACAAGCCAAGAGCATTTCTTTCATCCTGTAGATCATGTACGTGTAATATTTGCAAATTCTTACTTTGACAATTTTTCAAGTGTTGTAAAACAAAAACGAACTGTTTGCCTGTTAAATTTAGGATTTTTTTAACTTTATTATATAAAACAAATAGACAATATAGAGCTGTTGTCTGTTCAGTTATAGATACACGGAATGACGTCATTTGTGATGAGAACATAAAGTGACACACACTCACCCCGGTGGGTCGTGGCCACTTTTTTGTTCTTACCTTAATGACGTCATACCGTGCATCCATAACTGAACACACAACGGTTCGATGATATCTGTTTGTCAAATACATCACCCTCCAATTAAACTTCTAGCTACGACCCTGCGTACCGTCAGAACCGCAGCTAGACCTCTTAATTTTGTGTATATTGATATATTCATGTTTATAAACCGTAGGAACAACAGCGTACAGAAGAAGCCGGGCATAAGACAAATATAATTAATGAATATATACTCCGCCCCCCCACTCAGCAACAATCCGAAAAACTCCCTAGGCCAACGTACATTTCAGTTCTTCCTGTGGAACTAAACACCAGCCCAAAATTTCAATATCAGAAATATAATTGCTAACTCCTTTCTTAAAAATATGTCTCAGCAAGACAGGCTCGCGCGCGTTAAACAATACGTAAGTACCTTGTCATTGATTATAATCCTTTGAAAAATAATGTAACGAGTGCCAGGCTCCAGCGGAGCATTAAAATATTCTTTGAAGCCCGAAGTATCACTTGTTGAATCGCTTGTACTTCTGCCATCACCAAGTACAAACATGTTTTCCAGAATATTGCTGGACGAGAATACTGCGGCGATATACGGTTGTGGATTGGTTGAATTTTCAGCTTCGGCAAACATCACCAATTCATCGTCCTCGTAGCGGTCGGATGATAAAGGCTTTTCGTTGTCTTTCACTTTCCAAGCCACCACATAGAAACGCCTAATATTAAATCATACTTTGTGTTTATTTACGCATGCATTGATGTATCCTGGTTTACGTCAGGGAGACACCGACCTCTAAGAGGTTCAACCACATGCTTTTGTTCACACCAGTAGGATTTAAGACTCAGTTGCCAGTAACATTGTTGACTCTTATTTTAACCCTTATTCTCAATATTTTGCACTTCTTTTGTTAAACCTTGTGAATGCAAGACCATCGAACCACGCCGGTAACCTTTTTACGTGGAGTATCTGTACCTAGTTGTTTTCCCCTACCCCCCCCCCCCCTTTCTCGCCGCTCGTGCACTATTGAATAAACACTTACTCGAACGTTATTGTAGGAATTTCCAATGAAAAGTTAAGTGTATTTGGTGTTGCTCCAATTGCCTTCTTCACTGCTCCTATGATAAAAAGATATATAGTCAAGATAGCAACGACGCGTCGATAGTTCGCATGAACACTCATATTTAAGTTTTTGCGCCCTGTCTTCCCTGATATATGAATATAAATAACCCCCTGTTAAGCTTCCAGGTTTAGAATTAAGACAACATGAGAAATAACTTTCCTAAATATCTTCAATATAACTTTTTAAACCGAAAATGAGAAATAAAGCTATTCATCCTCTCCAACCACGATTCTGGATTTTACACCTCGGGATATACAAATATTTTAACAACTTTCTTACTGACTGGGATTCTTCGTGCGTTTAATGTTCAGTTCACATTGTGATTTATATTTAGACGTGGCATTAAGATTTCAACATTTCTTTTTGTAACATCCACGTATGATCGAAAAATCTTTGGGGGATAGAACAGACGATGCCCGACAAATAGACGCTATAATAAAGTAATAAATATAATTGCAGGAAGGTGCTTCCGGAATATACGCACCGAGAGGATGAAAGTTTTGGTATATAATGGTTGTTCTGTGTACAATAATACAATAATGATTCATAATTGAATCAAATAAGTTATTTGATCTACTTACGTCCATTCGTTATAATTCCTTTCGTATTGGTGTAGTTACTGCTTCCAGCTTTGTTACTGGCCAGAACACCAAAATAATATTTTGTTGCTGGATTCAGATTCCCTACAAGCCACTCTCTTTCACTTGTGATGAATGTTTGAAAGCAAGATCCATTTTCTGACTGTGAAAGGCACGCAGTATAATTGGTAATGACGCCATTTTGTTTATTTTTCTCTGGAGGAGCCCAGACAAGAAGCAACGATGATGCACTTCTTGATGTTGCTTTGATGTTCATCGGAGGACCCATTGGTGCTAAATGTTCAAAACAGCGATTTCTAGTTAGATTTTATACAACTGGACTGAATTCTAGCAGGGCGTCTATAAGATAAGGCGGCGAAACGCACGGATGGCGTGTTGAAACATGTGTGATGCGATTTTAGGACTGGGGCGGGGCGGTCGGCGAAAAATTCTCGAACGAAACAATATTTACTTGGTTTTTAACAAGCACGATTAAAACCACTCAATCTCTGAAACTATTAACGCGATATCTAAAATAAGATTTCTCCTGTGTAATTTATAACTCTTTCTATTAATATTGTGTCTTAAAATTGTTTCTTCAAAAGTTAACTTACCGAATTTGTCAAATTAAAACTACGGATACGCACGGCTACTTGGTCTGTTTCTAGATGTATCATACATATTTTGATTTTTCTCAGTGAGGAAAATCCCCAAAAGCATTATACTTCAAGATTTGGTGTACAGACTATTGACAAACATTTGTAGCAAATTTTACTACACAACGTTTTGAACCTTTTTTGCAATCATTTGTAGAAGTGAACGTACTCAAACTTTCTACAACAAAATTGTTTTCACGGCTGCGAGGTCGGAAATTATCAACACAAAATCCCGTTAAATTATATTATATACTTAGATAATGTTCCGAATTGAAAATATGATATGTTTTTCTTTCGTCATGGCAATGTCGACCTGGCCAAGCTAAAAACAAAACAAGAAAATGCTAACTTACTTGCAAGAGCATTAGACCGCGTCGCAACAACGTTTTCGAATTTTCAATATACAAAATTTCCATTAAAAAATTGAAAACCTTGCCATAGCTCCAAAGCTGGAAAATTTAGAAAATAACTCCCTTGTTAATTAACATCGATTCCACGTACAAATGGTTGCATAATGTTTTGAACCTTTTTCACAATTTTCTCTGGAAAACGACAACCACAAAACGGAACCATGTTTACACACTTGTCTTGGTAACCAGCGGACTGGGACGAGTATAAAAAACACGAAAAAACCCTTTCAAGAACAGCAATTAACTCCTTTACGTTGAAATTTACAGTATTTCCAACTGGAAATGACGAATTTGTGTCATCTGTTGCCAGATCAGTGTCATCCAAACTTATAAACATCTCAAGTTCTTCGTCATCTAAGTAACCCGCCGCCATTTTGCAAACAATTTTTCGAATCTTCATGGGGGGTCCGCACATCACACATGTTTCAACACGCCATCCGTGCGTTTCGCCGCCCTATCTTATAGGCGCCCTGATTCTAGCAAGTGATACTCTTCAATCAGTTGTGTAATTAGAACGATAATTGGGGAGGAGGGTGTGTTTATTCATATATTCAGTTTTGCTCGAGCCTCGAGGGATTTCTTTTGTAAGTTAAAGCAGCCTAGTCCCAGCCCTTGTAAGCACGCGTTGTTAATTATGCTGGGGCAGCCCACGCCGAGAGGCCTAGGACAGAATGTTGAGATTTCAAAAAGTGTCCCTGATTTTGTCCCCGATGCAAATATTTTGAGATCAGTATCGCTTGAGAAAAATTTTCTTGCTGCCATTTTGAATTAAGAATTAAAAAACATTTTGTGCCAGTCCTCTCCCACGTGTTCAAACCGGTGACGTCACAAGAATGTAAGGCGCGCTAAGGAGGACTAGAGACTAGCCTGAAGTTCGAGGGTGGCGGTTAGGGAAAATATTTCGTGCGGGTAACATGACAAGGGTCTCTGTTCTATTTACTCTATCTAATGAGAACAATTTAATTGCCATTTTGCAAAACATTGTGAAACGTTCACATAATCGTCGACTTATTTTTAATCTAAAGTTATATACTCTATTTAACATCAATGCAGTACATAAAGGTTATTTATCATCCAATATATACATACCTTCTTCGGATGTTGAGAACAGAATTATCGCCTTTTTACCGTAACCATAGTGATTACCAGCAGAGACCGATATTTCATACGTAGTTAACGGAATAAGACTGTCTATTTCATATTTATGAACAGATTTATCCGTGGTGATGTTTAGAATAGGCGAGTTATCTTTCGTGAGAATAATGAAAAATCGAGAAACACGTCGCACCCATGAACCTTTATCATTAGGATTTTCAGGATCTAGCCAAGATACATCAACACTTCGAGACGTGATGTTATTGGCTGTTAAATTTCGAGGTTTGTATGGCAGCACAGCTTGGGATAAAAGAACGAGATAAATTAATTTTAAAATGTGCAATACAAAAAATTTAAATTGTCCATTTCTGTCCATTGAGCAATCTTCTGGCAGTAGGAATTCATAAAGTGCATTAGGAATGATTTACAAACAAATCATGTGACACGATCAATGTCCACCCTGTGTAATAACTTACCGAATCCACTAGTCTCGACTCTCATGCATGGCTGACCAACATATGCTAAGGGAATAAACCGTAAACCTCTTATACCAAGCGAAAGTCCAAAGTGGAAAAAATCTCTCACAGCAATAGCTGCATGATGGTATGCATTTTTATTTCCTTGAAATATCTGCTGGAAAGAAAAAGGAAACAGGATTTCCTCGACAGGCTTATATATATATATATAAGATTACGTTATTGTTAGTTACAGTATTATTTCTCACCCTGGACCTATACGCTTTCCAGCTGACCAAATCAGAACTATGATTTAAGTTATACGTGGCGACCCATTTTGGACTAGTGCTATCACCATACGTTATCATATGAAATAACCAATACAGCGTTCCCAGGTCCACTTGAAGATAATGCTTTGCATCCGAAACAGGAGCACACCAGGAGCTTCCGCTAGATATCCTTGCATCGAAAGGATTGTGACCTTTCACAGAAGCAGAGGCAGAAAATGATGAATCAGGAAATCCTTTTTTATCTGTAGCTAACAATGGACTGAAGTTGTCCCGAAAGATAAAATCTGAAATGGAAAAAAAATAATCTTAGTATTCCATATTTTAATTAACAATGGTATCAGTTGGGTCCAGTGAACTTTAAAAAGATTGAAACGATAACTTGGCCGCCATTTTTGAAGCCAGCACTGATGGCCGCCATCAAGGCCAAGAGTTGAAATTACACCACCAAAACAACGCCGGTTTTTGTACACAAATCCATCTCATCTGATCATGAATAAAAGCTTAAAACAAGCATTGACACTTAAATTTTACTAAAAAACAAGTTTTATGAAGGTGAGAAGGTGTAAACCTATTTTTTTGCGAGTTGAAGGCGAAGTTTTTTTCGGTCCGTTTAAATTCTTTAAATATTTCAAGTACAAAGCTGGTACCTCGCCGGTTTTTACAGTAAGATGATACGGATTACTTAAGTGTATCCGAAAAGGGTAAATTCGTTGTTTAAAGTTGAAGTGGTCAAATAAAAATTGCACTTTTCCGGCAATTTTTTTCCAAAAAATACGATTTTTACGGAATTCTCACTCTTCCCAGTTCTTCCCAGTTCCTTTGAAGGCTTGATTTGCTCGCGCGGCTCCCGCCTTAATCAGCAAATTATATTCAAATCGGCTTCATCCAATGACCAGTCTTTATTGTTGAGTTATCGTTCCAGTCTTATTAGAGTTCACTGGTTAGGTTACTTTGTGGAGCCGAACATACATTTCACGTGCCGAAAAACTGGTGCAAATGAACTTAAACAAAGACTTCAGCTTAATAATTATTTTTAGGTTAGGCACATGAAAACTTCGTCGTCTGAAACAGAACTTTGTGTAATTGAATGTTCCTGACATGCATCTGTCAATATTTGTACATTATTTGAAGATTGTACTCGGGAAAGGGAATGATTTTTAATAGGGTATATGACACCGAGTGACAGCCTGCCATGGCAAGCAGAAAATTCTACTTGACCACGGCAGGATTCAAACCTGCGGCCTTCGGTATACTAGTCCGATGCTATGCCAACTGAGCTACATGGCCAGCACGGGTTTGTGATATTTCGAAACAATACTAGTTTCTTCGATACTAGTTTCTCTTCATATCGAAGAAACTAGTATTGTTTCGAAATATCGCGTAAATCCTTGTTGGCCATGTAGCTCAGTTGGCAGAGCATCGGACTAGTATACCCAAGACCGCGGGTTCGAATCCTGCCGTGGTCAAGTAGAATATTCTGCTTGCCATGGCAGGCCGCCACTCGGTGTTATACCCTACTAAAAAAAAATTTGTACATTCTTTTTTATTTTTTTTCTAACTGTGTGTTAATTAAAAAGCATTCCTCTTACAATCACGAAAACCACATTCGATGTATGTTAGCTCGGAACAGGTCTGGTTGGAAGCAACAATCAAACACTGGGATAAAGATTTTTCTCGATCACTACAGGTAAATGTTCCTGAAAAAACAGCATCTTTGAAATCCGCTGGGACAGGCACATTAACAAATGAATTTAGCTCGTCGTAACCAAGACTACGACATAGGATACGAGAATCTGGGTACTTCTTTAAACTCTTCCAGCAAACATCCACTGTTCCACTGTCAGTGCTAATTTGAACAACACCTTTGAAAGGTAGAGATGAATGTGATAAGGTCACATCATGAGCTACAAGGAAAAACAAAATAGAAAATTGGTGAGTATTAAACCCCGTACAGACGGGCAAGTTTTCTTTTATACAAGTTTTTCTTGCCAAGTTTTATTTGCCAAGGAGCCTTGTTCAAAAGCTAGTCATACCGCAAGTGAACTGGTCAAGAAAACTTGTCAATTAAGAAAAACGTGCCCGTGTAAGGGGCTTTATATGGACAATCACACCAAAAAATTCAGATCTTTACTTCAAAAGTATATACAGAACAGCTAATGTTGGGAAACATAAAATACAAAAGTATTAAACGACATGTAAGCAAACCGAAGAGAAATAAGTCTTTAAAAATACTCCGATGCAAGAAAAACTGGCCACGAAATAAAGGACTAAGTGGCCACGAAAAACTGGCCACGAAATAAAGGACTAATGCAGTGCTCAAGCACTGCCAAAGCAGCAACGGAAAAATTATAGGCTCACATAGACTCCAAAGCCGAAACAGATTAAAGTTTAAAAGGCGTTGTTGAATTAACAGATACAACAGTTGGAAAATTGAGTACCTATAGATCTAGTAGATTCAAAGAAAAGGATTTTTTGTCTTGTTCTTTTTAAAATTTGAAGGAAAATACTGGTCTTACACAATAACTATATATTATTATGCATTACTAATGCAATCTCGATTGTGATTGGCTAAAAACCTACAGATAATTCTTAATGTCTTGCCACCTACACGACATTGAAAATTATCCCTAGGTGACGTAATTTTTGCCGCTATAGTTTTTTGTCAATAATGGCGAAGGCTTCCTCTCTAAAAAAGAAATACATAATAAAACAATTATAAAATTCAGTTTTCGCATGATATCAAGAATTATCAAACCTCAGTTTACGTTATCCCAAACTTCCGCTTGATAATTCTCGATATCACACTCAACTTCATCCAGTAATTGTTAATTGTATAAAAGTAAGATGTTTTATGACACATATATGTTATAGCCTTTCATTTTTGGTTCCGCCATTTTTTGGGACGACGAGGAGAGGAATTTCTTCATAATTTGCTAAAAGCGTATCATTGACAAAGGAAAACTTACCACAAGGCCGTTTGAAGGTTTTTACAGTATCTACACAGTGATATTCAAAATAAAGATACGTTTTCAAACCAGGACATCCGCTACTCGAGAACAAAGTTTCATCCACACGTATACTGTACTCATGTAGACCATCACATTGTTTCTTTACAAGACATCTAGTTCACAACTGTAATCAGTTAAACTCAAACCACAAGTCTTTGTTGCAAGTAATCCACGAAAAGAGGCAATCTTGACCACCATGTACTGATTCCTAGGACAGTTTGCATTCTTCACCATATCACCATAACACGTCACGGAACCTTCATTAAGGTATAGAATTGTTTCAAAGGCCGTAGAAAGACCGCTTCACCCGGCATAACACCGATATTTGAATATGCAGTCACTACCCCCCCCCCCAATTAATCTTCTATAGCTATGGGTCTGATTGATTGTTTTCAGTTTCTTAAAATTTTGCCGGAAATTGATCTTTATTAAAACAATATATGCAAAGTAACTACTTGTTTTCACAAATCATCTTTGTGTTCAATAAACTGAAAAAAAAGCGATACTATACGCAGGTTTCTTATATCAAGCTCGTTTGCCACTAATACCGAAGCATGAATCACATTTGGTAAAATTTAAATGAAATTGAATTGAATAAATTTCAAAACTAACTAATAATGCTGAACGTTAATTTTTTAATTCCCCCCCCCCCTCTTTCGCTTAACGATATTTGTCCGTATATATAGATATCATATACATGTTACAGAAAAACTGACATTTCCCTTTCAACACATTGATCAGTTGAGGAAATATTACACTAGGTTTTTGTAAAAGTCAAGAAGTCTTCTTGAAACCAATGATTTGTGAACTCAAAACGGCAGGACGGAAAATTTACCACATCCACATGGCTAAATCTCAGGACACTAAGAAGCCTACAGTGCTATCTGAGGTATCACCTGATGAGGAATTTCGCCAGAAATGCAAATAATGGTCATATGCATCTACGCCTAAATCTTCAGCATAGGTTGAAGACTTTTTTTTAACTGCTTTGAAAGTTTCATTTAAGTTTCTTCATTTTAAGCAAGCATTTTTAAGCAAGCAAATTTCAAGCAAGATACCTACCAAGAATAAATCTTTCGTTCAAGGTGTCACATCTTCTACTCAACCCAATGTGTAGATTTTTTCCGTATTTTCTGCTAAGTTGATAGTTATATTCATAGGTTACACACCAAATTTCAAAGGAATTCATCCCATGCCCTTTATAATAAACAGATAATGCTCCCTGTGTGGTCTGGTTTATAGCACGATAGATTCCCTTGTTGGGATTTTGAGTACAAGCAGCTGTGTCCAGGCTTACTGAGTCGACGTAAAGATAAAATAAATCAAGATTAAAACCAGAACCAGAAAAAGAACCACCGGCAAGACAGCCTTGTCTATTCAAATTCAACATGGCGCCATTTTCTCGAAACCGAAACTGAGCTGTTAGTTGAAGACAGCTGTCTTCAGAAATTTCCAGAAAGGATAAGTTTCCCAAACTGCCGTTTGACTGTATTATGCTTGTGTCATTAATACACCTCGGAGCTCCACTGTAACCATTCCAAAATCTTAGGAAGAAACAAGTCACGCCTACGAAAGAGAAAAAAATCACGTTCACACCACACCCAATACAGTGTGCCCCAGAAATGTACCCTTAACAAAGAAAACGTTGCTAAACGGCACCGTGATTTCCATTATATTATCGGCGCTTTACCATGCACGCGGCAAAAGTTAATAGAGAACTCACCCTTTTTTGGGTGGTCATGTGACAAAGTGTCAAAATTTTCAGAATTGTAAATATTATTCTACGGTGACTTTATTGAAAGGTCGCCTTTAATATAAGCGGACGCGGTCAGCAAGTAACCTTTTCCAGGGTCCCAAATTCATCTTTTCATTGTTTTGAAACTTTTTTGACATGTCGAAAATATATACATGGCTACAAATGCGCGCCGGTAAGCGTTGAGGTGTGTCGGCTGATGCGGCTCAGTTTTCAGTTCATTATTAAGATCAGTGTCGCTCAAATCCACAAAGACAATATGCCATATGGCGATTGTTTTTATTTCATCAACTAGCTACACCAAAACACAATATAAAAAATCAATATAGTGGATAGTGACATAAAAAACGACCTACTTATCGCTGCTGGCCACGCCACTTCGTTCGAATACTTAATATTGAAATATTGTTGAATATTTAATATATTTATTTTTGCATTGTATCATAGCAACAGCTAAAAGAAAATAATGGCGATCAAAAATCACTCTACGAAATTGATGACTTTTTAGACGCGGAACACAGTTACGCGTCTTTTTAAGCTTTTAAAATGCGATGTAAATAAAGCTAGAGTCTTTGCAAACCAGCTGGACGTGGTCATTTCACATTTGCCGATGCCCGACTTTTGCTCGAATGACAAATATTCAGTTGTTTGGATGAACGTGCCTTCTCCAGCAATGGACCTTTTGCATAATAGACCAATTAACTTACGATTAACGCAACAAGAAGAAAATTAATAACCACAGCTAAAAAGAGCATACCGAAATTAGTATAACCCCCAAGTTTGGCCGCCAAATGTCAAGTATTACGGAAAATATAGCCATGCAAAGTAGCCAAAGTAACTTGCATATATATTTCCGGCCGTAGCACAAAAGTATACTAAATTGAAAAATTCGCATCGCTATATTTTCCGTAGAGACCGCACTTTACAATATTTCTAGCCAAACTTGGTAATTTTACTAAATTTAGTATGCACTTCCCGAAATTTCCTTCTTGTCGCCTAAATCAAAAGTTGGTCTATTATGCAAAAGATCCATTGTGGTTAAACAGAAAGCAAATTTTAATGATTCCCCACTAACTTATTATTCGCGACGGCATATTTCTTTTTCAAATTGGCGCGAAGTCACCCATGCTTGTCATGCAAATTGGCCTGCGTTTCTGGCCATGACCAAAAGAAGAAAATTGCGCAGAAAATCGCAACTGAAATTGCAAGTGCAAACGCGGGCATCAACGATCTTCCGAAGCGATTTATTCCATCGTATTTGAGAGAGCTCTGAAACGAAAGTAAAATGTCGCCTCGCGCGTTTTACTTCGATAAAACAAGCTGCTATATATTTTGATGACAATGAAAAATAAAGATGATATTGTACTTCTTTCATGCTAGAATTGTTCGTGATCGCTAAGTCACGGAGGTTGATATATTAGAATATTGCAATGTGTTTGCAGACATCAATGACAATTAACATACAAAGAATAAAGAGAAATTTCCAATTGGGCTATTTAACATCGGTAAAGATAGGTTGTATACATGCAATATTTACACATTTACGTATTTACACCACGAACTAGTAGCAATCACAGATTAGTGTTGTGCGTTAATTTGGAATATATTGATTTTGGTTACCGAACAAAAATGTTAACATTATAACGTCACAATGTATGTGATTAAAAGATTAGCCGCAAAATGAGCAATTTAACAACAGTGATGGCTTATATTTTTTAATGAACAACAAAATAGCAAAATAGAGTGAACACATGGTCTCCAGTAACTATGACGACACATCAGAACGAAGCAAATCTGACATCGCAAATCTCGATATGACACGGCTAGGATGCGCTCTCCTTCGTCGAACGCAACAACATAACTTACAGTCTAAACGACATGATAAGGGCGAGCAATTCACTTGCGCTCAATTGGTATCATATGAGTTATTACACAATGCGAACTATCGTTCCGGACTAATTCGCATCTGTTTTAAAACATTTTGAACCAGTCCGTTACAAGAACTACATTCCAAGACTACATTCAACATGCAACCAAAGAATGCAAATATAACCTTTGACAACTTTCATATTTTAAAACCAGAGTAGCGATTAATGCAATGGATTGTCTTTCTGGTTGTCCTGAACGTGTCAACTTCAATTCATTTCAAACAAAGTTAGGCAACTTACCTCGCAGAGAAAGAATAAAAGCAAGCAAGGCACCAAAGTGAAGACATCTTGGCAACATCTTCAATCAGAATTTCGAAAGAAAATACCTTTTTAATTCCAGAGGTAAATTTTAGGAATTCGTAAATGCGAGTGAATGCGCGTGAATGCGGAAGGCAAGACGAGGATAGTGGGAAATGCATCGCTTTATATCCGTGACTTTTTACCCCTTAATGCGATATACTTATATTGTTATTTCGATATATAATAAAATAAGCTCGTCATTATCATGATAAAATTACTACACGCTGATTGGTTGTGAGGAGCAGAGTTATTGTCTTCAATTGCGTTCTCTCCGGCCAATTGTATATAAGCGTAGGTTCGATTCCTGAAGTAAGTTAGACCAATATTTGACTCATTTTCCATTAACTGTTCCTGGTTTGAATTTGAAGTGTGTATAATTCTACTTGAAATTAAGACCCTTTGAACCTCTAGAATTTACCTGCATCGAGTGAAGTGCCGTAAATCATAATTAATTGCACTGCAGTATTATTATAGTAAAGTAAACAAAATGGCAGGAAGTTATTCGCATACAAATTAACAGCCCTTGAGGAGAAAAAAAAGCCGGAAAGGTAAACAAAAATACTTTCAAAAATACGAATAATGGAGACGGGACTTTTTTACACTGTCGTGCTATGCTTGCATTTAAATTATCTCCTAAAATTATTATTTTCAAATTATTTCCAAAAACAATATACAAAGGCAAAAGCTTTTCAAAAATTACCCATTTTGAAAGTATCTACCTTAAACATGCATACCTAGATTGGGTTTAAAATACACTGGCGGTCAAAAAGAACTGCTCAAAACAAGTTAAAATGCTCTCAACGAACGTAACTGTCCCTCTAACAATATATACGAGTAAATATAGACTAGATTACATGCTAAGCTATATTAAATATTAATATTTTGCTGACACTCCTTTGGCCTTATAATTGATGACGGCCTTACACCGGCGTGAAATAGTTTTTGTTAAGGTGGTAATCTTGAGCGGTCAAAAGAAATTCATCCTATGGACAGTCTTTGCAGCAATCCATGATCATGGACGCTCTATGAATTACTTCCTTTCTTTCACTATCCCATTGACATTGTCCAACAGATTTTCAATAGGGTTAAGGTATTTTGACTGTGCAGGCCAATCCATTTCTGTCACTTCTTCTTTCCATGAAACCATTGTTTGACTATCTTGGAAGTGTGGCAGGTTGCATTACATTACTGAAATATTGCTTGGAATAAGAGAATTATCCAAAATGCCTATGAAGCTCTCTCCTATATTCGCTTCTTCTTTAGTAATTTGTATCTAAACAGTTCTTTTTGACCGCTATAGTGTACAATAAAAGATTGATTGTCACGATTCCTGTTACATACGACAATAATAACATTTGAGCGCCAGTGTATATTAGACAACCACTCACAATTAATGTAATTGAATTGCTTGAATACTAATTGTGTATACATGTGGATATGGAGGTCCAAACATGCTGTTAAAAAAATTTTCCGGGACAAACAGAATTTGCCATATCATGTGATTTTGGACAGATACAGAACAAATTTTAAAACGCTGAAAAGTGGAGCGATTTCTTAAAAATCAAGTTTTAAACACAGACTGTTGCCATCAGGTTAAAGGGAAAACCCGCTTAAGTGCTACTCCATGTGCAGAATCCAGACTCTTGCGCAACTACTAACCCCAGGAGATTGCATTACTGCGGATTCAGGTAGACCGTTAAATTTGAATAGTTGTCGCGGTAATTTTAACCGTTTTGCGATAACACATTTCTAGGCCGTGGCTTTAACGTATGAGGCGCCGATATGACGCGATATTCCCGTCAATATTCGCATTAACAAATATTTGTTTTTTATATATTATATTGATGCTATATTCTATTCTGTGCTCTATAGGTTTCTTTTTTCAATGACATATCTTTAAAATACATTCTGAGTCTTTGTTTATTAACCTTTCCATTTAATTTTATTACTTATCTGGCAATTATTTATATAGATCACAGTTTATATTGTTGCTAGCTCCTCGCAATTGTTAGTAGATGCATAAATATTAATCAAATATTATAAAGTCAAATCATATACATGTATTATAATGCATGAACGATATAAGAGAAATTCACATATGTTAACATAAACTTAAATATAAACTACAGTCAACTACTTTAAACAAATAATCCATTCCGACAACGGGATATCTGTAGTTGAAGGAATGTTTACAGTTCTCCAAGAACGACACACGGACACACTTGATCGAAGAAGAACAAAAGCTATCTTCTTGCGTTACCAGTTGAGAACGATGTAAGTACTAAAGTTCTTTTTCTCAGCCAGTTTGCCTGCTAGGAACGAAAGGAAGTGATAAGTCTCCCTTCCACATCCGCCATATGCACTAAAAACGACTGGGGTGAAGGAGCCCATGCTCAACTTCAACAATTCTTTCATTGTACTGACGTTTCTTGTATACGTCGCCAGATCATCGTCCACACGGTCAAAATTATTTGCATTATTGGTTTCTGGAACATCATAAATATATGCCGAGTTATTTCTACCCTCGTTTGTACTTTTGCCGGAAGCGTTTTGTAATCTGAATCTACGATTTTCACAAACCAAATAGGCAATGATTATAGGAACGAAGCAATCAGGAGAATGATGAACACAATCATTCCGACAAGATTAACTTTAGAACCAGAATCGTTTCCCTTTGACGTCGTGTTCGATTTTTGAGCCAAAAAAACAACGCTATTTACTATTTAAAAGAAACTTGCAGGTGCATGACGACCGGGGGCAAAAGATCTGGAGATTCCTGGAGAGATCTAGTCACCAACCATGTTGTTCATGGCCAGGAATTTAATACAGTCAGCTGTTGTGCATTAGTATGCGAGCGCACATGAAAATGACGTAGCTATGCGATTTCAAGATGACTATTAAATTTGGCTATCAAATTTAGAAAAAGTATTTTGACAATTAGATATCATTCATATCAAGTCACATTACATAACAAGAACTGTGTTAACCAAGCGGAGTTAGCTAGCAGGACTATTTAATTTCGACAATTTATGCAAATTTTAATTATATTATTCATTTCTTTAGAAATGGATTGTTTTTGACTGACTCTGACAAACATTTCTTAAGATGTTTTCGATTTGATTATTGCATGTGTTTTCGTTCTCAACAGTTAATAACATTTTGTTCGGAAGCAAACGGCAACCGCGATCGTATTTTTTCCCTTGCGGGTCGTCCGTGGTTTCTATCGACCGCAACCGTACCGCAACCTAACCGCCGCAACAAGAACCGCGACCGAACCGAAACCGCGGTGTTAGGTTATTTCTGGACAGTACTGTATTTCAAATTACAGAACAGAAGTTTTGGAGTATTTCTGGATACAAATCGGTTTGATCATGTGTTCTGACGAATAAGACTTGTGGGCAAGAGAACGATCGTAATATATGACGATATTATCTCTAACTTCTCACGGAGCTTCAAAATGTCACTAAATATGACAGATATCACTGTTTGCTCTCATACGATTTCAATACCATTTGGAACCAGTTGGCCCATTCAATATACCACATCTTTTTTGCCCTCTTGTGATTGTTTGAACACAGCTCTATAAACCGAGACTTGTGGAAACATTATACAAATTTGATGAGAGAATATCGAGGACGGATGGACAGCTAAGTCGGGTTTTTCTTATATATTTTCCGCGTTTTAACTGTGTGAATAAGTCTAATTAAATATGCGCAGCCTCTTGTTCCTAGCGCCATGTTTTACATGATCAAAATTCTGGCCATGCTCAACTCGCGAACTTTTCTTGGACGAATGTTAACCAATTTCTAGACATAGGAACTGAAATTCATGCATGAACTGAAATTCAAAAACTGAAATTCATTATTTTAACCCAAAAAGTAATTGGTAAAACGACTAAATTTTAATGGGTCATTTTGACCCAATATTTTTTTGGTTACAACAACCAATTTAAACTGGTTGTCTCAGACGCATCTAAACGACTAACTTTTTTGGGTCATTTTAACCCATCTGTTTTTACAGTGTGATGCAGTAAAATACCACTAATTTACTTTTGAAAATAACTGCATGGGTTCATATTTTAAGCTTTTATCGGCGGTGGAAATGACTGGTCATAAAGACGAATAAAAAAATTCATAAATCCCGCACAAAATTTGATTGTTTAAATTTTATTTTTAAATGTTGGATGGAAAACTTGATACGTTCCAGAGAGCAGCGTGGCAGCGTCTTCAAACAACTCAGCATCAAATGTGGTATAACAACTTCCTAAAATAGACAAAAAACTTCTCGACGTTTCGACCTGAGGGCTTTGGCCAGGAGAGTTAGTATGAAAATCAATAGGGGAAAATATATGTTTTGTACGGTGGCAAAACACGTAATAAAAATAGGCCAATAGAAAACAAAAAAACAGCAACGACAATACGTTACAAACAGTTTTGATGTAAACAAAGAATTGGAAGTCATATTACTTTGGGTGAATCAGCTTAAATGAAAGAAAGTCTTTCATTTATGCCATTTATGCTCATATATTTTCGTATATATGATCAGGCTTCCCTCATTGCGGGCTATTCTTAACCCACAATCAGGCGTCTCTTTGGCAACGTAATGTATTCCAATTTGTTTTGATTTTTTGTTTTCTATTGGCCCATTTTTATCACGTCTTTTGTTCCCATACAAAATATGTATCCTCCCCTATTTATTATCATACTAAATCTCCTGACGAAGGCCCTCAGGTCGAAACGTCGAGATGTGTTTTGTCTATTTTAGGCAGTTGTTATACCACATTTGAGGAAAACTTGATTTTGAGGCTTTCGTTTAAGGTTACATGCTTTCTCATTTAAGGTTACTTGGGATATTGCAAATGAACATAGACAATGTAGATGTGATTGATACCTGGAGGATTTGTCGTTTGTGAATCAGGACTCCAGTCATTAGAGTAATAATCACCCTAGAGGAAGAGAACAGCTTATTTTATTGATTTTTTGAAGACCCCGAGAGTACAGATTTTAGATGGCTACCAGTAGGCCAACCTATCCAAACTCGTTCCTCAACTTATTTCTGTATAATTATAAAATTTATCCTGCATGAAAATTCTCGTTGAAACTTGCAGTAAGAATTTTAGCCGAAATTAAATTGGGAATAGTGTCTTGAATATTTTATATAGTTCAACCTATAATGATAACGAACTAGAGATATTTAATTTATCTTTTCGGCAAACTCCCTAGAGCAATGTACCTTTCTGTTCTTATCTTTCGGCCCATCAATTTCAGTGTCAAAAATAGAAATGTTAACTACCTTCTTAAAATATGTCTCGGCGAGACAGTACCGCACCCCTTGAACCCCAAATGCATTAAAAAATACACAGATACCTTATCATTGATGATAATCCTTTCAAAAATACTGTAACGAGTGCCTGACCCCAGCGGACCATTAAAATATTCTTTTGAATCACTTGCATTTCTGCCATCACCAAGTACAAACATGTTCTCGCTGGACGAGAATACTGCGGCGATGTACGGTTGTGGATTGGTTGAATTTATAGCTTCGGCAAACATCACCAATTCATCGTTCTCGTAGCGGTCAGATGATAAAAGCTTCTCGTCGTCTTTCACTTTCCAAGCAACCACGTAAAAACGCCTAATATTAATTTATAATTTGTGTATTTATTTACTGCATGCATTGATGCATGTATGCTGGTTTGTCGTCATTGGCCTCTAGTTTTCAGAAGAAGTTAAGAGACTGAGAGATTCTACCACATTCGCGCGCATAATTTTGTTTACATGCACTTGTAGGATTCAAAGCTTCTTTGCCGGTGAGAGCCAGTAACATTATCGATTCTTGCGTATCTCCGGGACAAACCAATGAAACCATAATATTTTGCACTTTCTTTGGCGGTTTTTCGTATTTCCTTTGTTATTCTGTGAATGCAAGGCAATCGAACGGCGACGGAGACTATTTACGTGAAGTATCTGGACCCGGATTGAGCTATTGAGCTTCTCCAAGCACAGGACTGACTCGGATTCCTTATTAGCTGGGATTCTTCGTGCGTTTAATGTTCACTGCTCACTTTGTGATGTATGTTTATTTCAGAAGTTGGCTTAAGATTTTAAGACTGATTTGAAGACCGGGGAGCGAACAAGCAACGCCCGGCGAATCCAGACTATAATAAACTAATAAATATAATTGCGTCCGGGATTTTATACGCACAGAGAGAGGATAAAAGTTTCAGTACAAAATCAAATTATTATTATGTGAACAAACATACACTAAAGATTGAATCAAATAAGCTATTTGTTATACTTACGTCCATTCGTTAAAATCCCTTGACTTTTGCTGTAGTTACTGCTTCCAGCGTAATATGTTGTTTCTGGGTCAATATAAATCAATATTGCTATATTCAACATGAAAATAATTATTCACAAAGATTGCGCGAGATTCAAGACTTTCAGTTTTGAAGCAGAAGAGGAAGAAAATTAAACTCTCAAAATTTATTTGAATTCGATTGTTTGCATTTCTTACCTAATCCTTTTATACTGCAAGCCCGTGAAGACAAGCACTAGTTGGCGACTTTTTATCGACAGAACATGCAGCTGTTTCAAAACCTTTTCGTAAAAGATTTTTGCCAATATCGTATGTGTACAGGTAGATATCTGGATGATTTGTCATTAATTTAGGGTAAAAGTTCTTGTTTCAAAATCTGTAGGCTGCATGAATTCTTTCTTATTTCAAGAAATTAATTTGTATACGAGATTGTATACTTGATAGTTACAAAAAACCTGTGTGCATGCATAAGAAAAAAATTCTTATACTATAAAATAATCTTCTCCATAAAAAGTTACTTTTAGCTTTGTAGCCAATGTAGAGGATATACCTGAAAGATTTGTCGTTTGTCAATAATACTAATAGAGAGATAAATAATGGATATGTTACTTACTCTATGTTCTAATGCCTCTTTCTTGGTAATATAAAAACACACAAATCATCCTGTTTTTGTACTAAATTAAAAATGGAGCCTTAAATAGTCAAGGAGCCATAAATACTGTTTTGAAATGTTCCTTGTGCACGGTTTTCATAACACTAACTCTTCGTGTTCTTATGAATCATTACTACATGGCAGCGATGTTAGCTTTTTGTCCGCTGTGGAATTGTCGATTGCCTCGCGACGCTTAGAATGTGTCGTTCGTTTTACAAGCATGTTAAAAGCAGCATTATGAAGTTTGAAATTCGCATTATCTTCGTCCAAGTGATCATGAACAGGTCAGGATAAAACCTCATCCCAAGAACTCGCTACTTGTCTCCAGCTTTTGGAAAAGAACAGGAAGTCTTTGGCAAGGTGGTTTCATGTGCTGTTGATTTTTATTTCACAAATGTCTCATTGCTACATTTCTGTCAAGTGAGACACGAATAATTTTCTTACCAAACTTGTCAAAACGAATAATGTGTGTATGCATGTATGTATGTAAAACGAACAATATACATATATGTATGTCAGTTATAGTGTTGTTTTTACAGACAAACAATGTATATTACACTATACTCACTAATTAAAACATAAAATGGCAATGTAAGTATTTGGAAACAAGCATATTTGAGATTCATTTGTCTGTAGAGGTCAATATTTGCAATGTGTTTGTCTATATTTGATTATTTATGCTTCACAACGCGAACTTTAAGGGTAAATATAAATTTCTCTCCTTATATATACGGGACATTACAAATAAATGGCACAAGATGGCAGGTTCAAAATATCAATCTCTGGCTTTTTCATTGTAAGTCTTACTTTCATTATATCAAATTATACATGGATAGTGAAGGTGGTGTTTTTAGTGCAATTACCAGGACAACCTATATTGAAAGGCAAAAAGCGATACGTTTTTCTTGTGATGAAATCCGTATCCAAAGAGTTTCTATATTTTAGAAATGGTTTGTACATAGAACTTAGCCCATGTAATTTGCTAAAAAGGGGCGGTCATTTGATCATAGTAAATATTAAAAATTCTGTTGTATAGTGATTCTTTACTATACCCAATTTATCTCTTTTTTTCTTATATCTCCTTATTCCAAGAAATTATTTTCTTAAAACAAGTATAAGTAAGATGAGTTTTTCCATTTTAAAAATTCGGGATTTTGAAGATTAATTTTTTCATATTGAGAAAATCTGAAATTAAGATAATCTTTCTTATATCCAGAAATAATTTACTCAGTTTAAGAAAAATATTTCCAATTATAAGAAAAAAATTTCTTGTGTTAATATCTGTAAATCTGTTGGCTGAATAGTTTCTTATTTTAAGAAATGACTTTCTAAACGAGATTTTATGTCCTAGAGTTTGAAAAAACTTCTGTGTATAAGAGCATTTTCCTTAGCATATAAAAAAAGTTCTTAAGATTAGAGACATTTTCTCCATGAGAGAATGACTTTTTGGTGTAGTATAATCAATGTAGTGGTATATACCTGGGTGATTTGTCGTTTGTGAAACAGGACTCCAGTCAGTCGAGTAATAATCACCCTAAAGGAATGAAGAGACGAGGTTTTTAAACAGCCTGAGAGAATTGTAACAGAATTGCAACAAACTTAATGAGTCATCGCTTGTTAATTTTGTCAGCCAGTCACATTTTAGCTGTCTTTAACTAGCCAAGAGCATTTCTTTAATCTTATAGATCATGTACGCGTAATATTTGCAAATTTTTACTTTGACAATTTTCAAAATGTTGTAAAACAAAAGCAAACTATTTGCCTTTTAAATTTAGGATTTTTTAAATGTTATTATATAAAACAAATAGATAACATTGAACTGTTGTCTGTTCAGTTATAGATACACGGAATGACGTCATTTGTGATGAGAACATAAAGTGACGCACACTCACCCCGGTGGGTCGTGGCCACTTTTTTGTTCTTATACCAAATCACGTCATACCGTGCATCTATAACTGAACACACAACGGTTCGATGATATTTGTTTGTCAAATACATCACCCTCCAATTAAGCTTCTAGCTACGACCCTGGGTACCGTCAGAGCCGCAGCTAGACCTCTCAATTTGGGAGATGTTTATAAACCGTAGGAACAACAGCGTACAGAAGAAGCCGGAAGAAGACAAATATAATTTATGAATATATATATAATCCGCCTCCCAATTGAGCAACAATCCAAAAAACTCCCTAAAGCAATGTACATTTCAGTTCTTCCTGTGGAACTATACACCGGCCCAGAATTCCAGTATCAGAAATAGAATTGCTAACTCCTTTCTTAAAAATATGTCTCAGCAAGACAGGCTCGCGCGCGTTAAACAATACGTAAGTACCTTGTCATTGATTATAATCCTTTGAAAAATAATGTAACGAGTGCCAGGATCAAGCGGAGCATTAAAATTTTCTTTAAAACCCGAAGTATAACTTGTTGAATCGCTTGTACTTCTGCCATCACCAAGTACAAACATGTTTTCCTGAATATTGCTGGACGAGAATACTGCGGCGATATACGGTTGTGGAATGGTTGAATTTTCAGCTTCGGCAAACAACACCAATTCATCGTTCTCGTAGCGGTCGGATGATAAAGGCTTTTCGTCGTCCTTCACTTTCCAAGCCACCACATAGAAACGCCTAATATTAATTCATACTTTGTGTTTATTTACGGCATGCATTGATGTGAGCTGGTTTACGTCAGGGAGACAGCGACCTCTAAGTGGTTCAATCACTTGGAACTCTCTTGCCATGCAGTAACATTGTTAACTCTTATTTTGACTCCTATTCTCAATATTTTGCACTTCCTTTGTTAAACTATGTGAATGCAAGGCGATCGAAACACGACAGGAACCTTTTACGTGGAGTAGCTATCTGTACCCAGGTGTTTCCGCTACCTCCCCCTTCTTTCGCCGGTCATGCTCAATTGATCGAATACTTACTCGAACGTTATTGTAGGAATTTCCAATGAAAAGCTAAGTGTATTTGGTGTTGCTCCAATCGCCTTCTTCACTGCTCCTATGATAACAAGATATCTAGTCTAGATAGCAACGATGCGTCGATAGTTTGAACACTCAAGTTAAAGTTTTCGCGCCCTGTTTCCCCTGATCTTTATGAAGGACTCTTCGTGCAAAGAGGGAACGGCAGACTGGGCCGTATCCCTGATATATGAATTAAGACAACATGAGAAATAACTTTCCTAAATATCTTCAATATAACTTCTTAAACCGAAATTGTGAAATAAAGCTATTCATCCTCTCCAACCACGATTCTGGGTTTCAAACCTCGGGATGTACAAATATTGTAACAACGGATTTTTCACTGACTGGGATTCTTCGTGCGTTTAATGTTCAGTTCACATTGTGATGTATATTTAGACTTGGCATTAAGATTTCAACATTTCTTTTTGTGACATTCACGTATGATCGAAAAATTTTGGGGGATAGAACAATGCCCGACGAATAGAGACTATAATAAAATAATAAATATAATTGTAGGAAGGTGCATCCGGGATTTACGCACCGAGAGAGGATGAAAGTTTTACTACATAATGGTTGTTCTGTGAAAAATCATACACTAATGATTCATGATTGAATCAAAATTATTTGTTCTACTTACGTCCATTCGTTAAAATTCCTTTCCTATTGCTGTAGTTACTGCTTCCAGCTTTATTACTGGCCAGAACACCAAAATAATATTTTGTTGCTGGATTCAGATTCCCTATAAGCCGCTCTCTTTCACTTGTGATGAATGTATGAAAGCAAGATCCATTTTCTGAATGTGAAAGGCACGCAGTATAACTGGTAATGACGCCATTTTGTTTATTTTTCTCCGGAGGATCCCAGGCAAGAAGCAACGATGATGCACTTCTTGATGTTGCTTTTATGTTCAATGGAGGACCACTCGGTGCTATATGTCAAAACAGCGATTTCTAGTTTGATTTTATGCAACTGGACTGAATCCTAGCAAGTGGCACTTTTCAATCAGTGGTGTAATTAGAACGATAATTGGGAAGGGTGTGTTTATTTATCCCCGAGCGGGCGCGGAGCGCCTGCGAGGGTACTAATTCCCCTCGGAGATTAGGAATTACACCAGGAACCCGGGAGAACATAGGCAAATCCAAAGTTGTCCAAATTCTATGTCATGGGGGCTGCTGCATTTATTGTTCTGAATTATTAGAACAGTATTCTGGAGTGATACAGCAATGGAGTGCGCTGTATGTTCTAGAACATCTGTTACGCCTGTTCGCAGGTTAATTCAATATAGCGGAAAATTTAATACCAATTTTGCTACAAGACTCTTTACAAGAAGAAGATGAAACGAGTACTGAAAGTGATATCTTTCAAAATTTTATTACAGTCACAACTGCCTTGTAAGTATTTTGTATTAAAGTATGTATTATTAGGATTAATAAGATACGTATACTTTTTTAATATCATATTGGAGCGTTACCGCATAACTGTTTACTGTTGAGTAGTTCGGGAGGATAGAAGAAAAGTGCATGGCTATGCAGAGGAAACTATACCAAATTATATTCTAGATGACTTCCAAAGATTTTTCAGAACTTCGCGAGGGACATTCGAAATTATTTTACGAGAAATTGCGGAGGCTGTAACTCCCGCTATTCAACGAGGAAGACCTAGTATCACGGCTGAGAAGAAGTAACTCATAACGCTTTGGTTTATTTCTCATCAAGACACTATCCACAGGATGAATGATCGTTTTAACGTTACTGATTCTCCCATTCTTCGATGCAGGGACCAAATTTTTAGCGTTGTGTTATGCTTCTTAAAAAAGAAGTTTATTTTCTTACTAAATGATGAAATGTAAAGAATACTATTACTGATGATTTCTACACAACTTCTCAGTTTCCAAATGTTCTTGGAGTTATCGATGGAACACAAATTCGTATTGTAGCCCCACACGCACACTCGCAAGCCTACGTAAACAGGAAGAAGTTCCACTCGATAGTTCTTCAAGGTATATCCCCTCAAATCTTCAATTCTTGCATGTGGTTGCAGGTTGGCCAGGAAGTGTCCACGATGCAAGGATACTGCGCAATTCTGATGTATGGAATATTTGTCCTGCGTGGTGTGGTCCTAATAGTCATCTGTTAGAGGATGGTGCATATCCATTGCGGAGCTGCAATCCTGGTCAAAACATTGACGTTATCCTTTCCTGGTTCATGCCTTAGTTTGAAGTTGTAGCCTTTTAGGTTAAGCTTGTGTCGGTGTATTCTTGGAGGCATCTCAGCGCGGTAGCTGTTGTAGAGTGGCAGCAGTGGTTTGTGGTCAGTTATGACTATGAAGTGGGGAAGTCCGTAGAGGTGCAGTACTGTGCAAAAGTTTTAGGCCCCCAGCCAAATTGTCTCTTGTTCGTAAAATTCATGGTATTGCAAGACATGCTTGGTAGAAAGACTTGTAGTGGTCTTGCACTTGGTACAGCCACCATGAGAGACCATTATCGCGGCACAATGCCCACTCATTGA